ACTCGTGGGGCCCTCGTGGGTTTTTACCCTTTTGGGGTGACTGTAGGCCCTCAGTGGATATATACCAATGGAGTGACTCGTGGGGCCCTCAGTGTGTATTACCAGATGGGGTGACTCGGGGACCCCCGTGTGATATTAAACCGATGGAGTGATCGGGGGGCCCCCATGTGATATATACCAGAGGGTGATCGTGGGGCCCCCAGTGTGATATATTTCCGTGGGACTCGTGGGACCTAAGTTTATATATACCGATGGGTGGGGCCCTGGGGGGCCCTCGTGTGATATTAACCAAAAGAAGGACTCGTGGGACCCTAAGTTGAATATACCCGTGGAGTGATCGGGGGGGCCCCCCCTGTGATTATTTCCAGGGAGTGACTCGTGGGGCCCTCGGTGAAATACCAGATGGAGGATCGTGGGGCCCCCCAGTGTGATATTACCCGTGGAGTGACTCGGGGGCCCCCAGTTGATATATCCAGGGAGGATCGTGGGGCCCCCAGTGTGATATATACCGATGGAGTGACTGTGGGCCCTCAGTGTGGTTTTTACCAGATGGAGGACTCGTGGGGCCCCCGTGTGATTATACCGATGGAGTGACTCGTGGGGCCCCAGTGTATATACCCAAAGGGGTGACTCGTGGGGGCCCCAGTGTGATATATAAGAGGAAGTGACTCGTGGGGCCCTCAGTGTGAATATACCAAAAGGGAAAGACTGTGAATCCCTCAGTTGAATATACCAGAGGATGATCAAGGGGCCCTGGGATATATCCCCCATGGGTGATCTCCCTCATTGATTATACCCGATGGATTTTCTCGGGGCCTCATTGGGTATATACCAGAAAGGATACTCGTGGGGCCCTCAGTGTGTTAAAAAGATGGAGGACTCGTGGGGGCCCCCAGTGTGAAATATACAATGAAGTGACTGTGGGGGGCCCCAGTTGTATAACCAGGTCGGTGATCAAGGGGCCCCCGGTGATATTACCGATGGGGTGATCAAGGGCCCTCAGTGGATATAAACCGATAGGGACTCTGGGGCCCTCTGTGATTATACAAAGGATGACTCAAGGGGCCCCCCCGTATATAATAAGATGGAGTGACCGTGGGGCCCTCGGTGATAATAACAGATTGGAGTGACTGGGGGCCCTGTGTGTATATACCAGATGGAGTGACTCGTGGGGGCCCGTGTGAAAATATACCGATGGAGTGACCGTGGGGCCCGGTTTTATTATCCGATGGGTCTCGGGAGTGGGGTATAACCAATGGGTGACCTGGGGCCCTTGTGATATTTGTGGGGGTGCCGTGGAGCCTGTGTGATATATCCCCGATGGATGATCGTGGAGCCCTGGGATATTACCCGATGGGGTGATTACTAAAACTAATATGAAGGATCTCCCCCCTTCTTAAAACTCTTTCCGGGCCGTAAGGGCCCTGAAAACAACCCCCTGTATACCAATTACTCTACGGTGGTATACCACATCATATACGGTGGTTACCCCCACTACATCTACGGTGGTAAACCACCACTAGGTCTACGGTGGTATACCACCACTAGATCTACGGTGGTATACCATCACTGGATCTACGGGGGTATACCACCAGTATATATACGGTGGTATGCCACTAGATCTACGGTGGTATACCACTAGATCTACCGTGGTATACCACCGGTATATCTACGGTGGCCTGCCATCACTAGATCTACGGCGGTATACCACCACTAGATCTACGGCGGTATACCACCACTAGATCTACGGTGGCCTACCACCACTAGATCTACGGTGGTATACCACCACTAGATCTACGGCGGTATACCACCACTAGATCTACGGCGGTATACCACCACTAGATCTACGGTGGCCTACCACCACTAGATCTACGGTGGCCTACCACCACTAGATCTACGGTGGCCTACCACCACTAGATCTACGGTGGCCTACCACCACTAGATCTACGGTGGCCTACCACCACTAGATCTACGGTGGTATACCACCACTAGATCTACGGCGGTATACCACCACTAGATCTACGGTGGCCTACCACCACTAGATCTACGGTGGTATACCACCACTAGATCTACGGCGGTATACCACCACTAGATCTACGGCGGTATACCACCACTAGATCTACGGTGGCCTACCACCACTAGATCTACATTGGCCTACCACCACTAGATCTACGGTGGCCTACCACCACTAGATCTACGGTGGTATACCACCACTAGATCTACGGCGGTATACCACCACTAGATCTACGGTGGCCTACCACCACTAGATCTACGGTGGCCTACCACCACTAGATGTACGGTGGCCTACCACCACTAGATCTACGGTGGTATACCACCACTAGATCTACGGCGGTATACCACCACTAGATCTACGGCGGTATACCACCACTAGATCTACGGTGGCCTACCACCACTAGATCTACGGTGGCCTACCACCACTAGATCTACGGTGGTATACCACCACAAGTTGACTGGTTACTGTGGTTACAGCTGGCGAACCTAACTACATGGTTGTGGTTGGTTTTGTTCGCTCCAAATATGTGTATGCATGGGATACCTTGGCAGTATAGGCCTGGCTGTGGCACTGTGGCCATGACGTGGCACTGTAGTCCTGATCATGGCTTTGTAGACCTGAGTGTGACACCATTTGATTCCTAGACTGGTCTTACTGTGGCACTATGAAACTGATAGTGTCACTGATTGGCTCTCCCAGGCACAGTAACACCATCAAAACAAGGTGCGGTTTTTTTAATTTACTGCGAATATCATCTATAAATTTTCAAAAAAATAGTGAATGTGCTGAGATGCGTTCAGTAAGCTTGGCACTGTGCCTACGAGAGCCAGGGATGCCAGAGTTACCAGGCATTGAGAAATAGTGTGTGTGTGTTAAGGTCTCGGGTGCCATCTACTGCCCCTCTACACGCCAGTGCCATCTACTGCATCTTCCCAACCAGTGCCACCTACTGCCTCTCTACACTCCAGTGCCATCTAATGCCTCTCTACACTGCAGTGCCATCTACTGCCTCTCTACACTGCAGTGCCATCTACTGCCTCTCTACACTGCAGCGCCATCTACTGCCTCTCTTCACTGTAGTGCCATCTGCTACCTCTCTGCACTCCGGTACCACCTACTGCCTCTCTGTACTCCAGTGCCACCTACTGCCTCTCTGTACTCCAGTGCCACCTACTGCCTCTCTGTACTCCAGTACCACCTACTGCCTCTCTACACTCCAGTGCCACCTACTGCCTCTCTACACTCCAGTGCCATCTACTGCCTCTCTACACTCCAGTGCCATCTACTGTCTCTCTGCACTCCAGTGCCATCTACTGCCTCTCTACAGTCCAGTGCCATCTACTGCCTTTCTACACTCCAATGCCATCTACTGCCTCTCTACTCTCCATTGCCATCTGCTGCCTCTCTACACTCCAGTGCCATCTACTGCCTCTCTACACTCCAGTGCCATCTACTGTCTCTCTGCACTCCAGTGCCATCAACTGCCTCTCTACACTCCAGTGCCATCTACTGCCTCTCTACTCTCCAGTGCCATCTACTGCCTCTCTACACTCCAGTGCCATCTACTGCCTCTCTGCACTTCAGTGCCATCTACTGCCTCTCTACTCTCCAGTGTCATCTACTGTCTCTCTGCACTCCAGTGCCATCAACTGCCTCTCTACACTCCAGTGCCATCTACTGCCTCTCTACACTCCAGTGCCATCTACTGTCTCTCTGCACTCCAGTGCCATCAACTGCCTCTCTACACTCCAGTGCCATCTACTGCCTCTCTACTCTCCAGTGCCATCTACTGTCTCTCTGCACTCCAGTGCCATCAACTGCCTCTCTACACTCCAGTGCCATCTACTGCCTCTCTACACTCCAGTGCCATCTACTGCCTCTCTACACTCCAGTGCCATCTACTGCCTCTCTGCACTCCAGTGCCATCAACTGCCTCTCTACACTCCAGTGCCATCTACTGCCTCTCTACACTCCAGTGCCATCTACTGTCTCTCTGCACTCCAGTGCCATCTACTGCCTCTCTACACTCCAGTGCCATTTACTGCCTCTCTACATCCTCCCATAACATTCCTTTGGAGTTAACATAATCAACAAAGAGATTTTCTGAGTAAACTAACAAAAATATTTTCCGTGTGCTTAATTAACTGCAGTTGTTCCCTGGCACTGGTCAGCTAATACTCATTTTGTTTATATTTAATATACACCCATACATGCGTATATATATATATATATATATATATATATATATATATATATATATATATATATTATATATATATGTATATATATACATATATATGTATATATATACATATATATGTATATTATACATATATATGTATTATATATATATATATATATATATATATATATATATATATATATATATATTATATATATATATATATATATTATATTGAATAATTTAGAAAAGAGTTTTTGAGAGTGCCGGCCTGCATGTGCATGTGGTTCACTTTTTTTTGCTTCTCACAGGTATGTGATAAAGGCTTTCAGAGAAAAACACACACACAAACAAATCATAATCAACGCATCTAGGAAGTCATAGAGTTTTCTTTAAATTCCGAACGCTCTTCGGGCGAGACTTTGGATTAAACTTGAGGTCGAGGAACTTCAACTCGCGTCATTGACAAAGTCTAGTCTCAAGATGTTCGGAATTTAAAGCGGACAACCATCCTAGGTTAGTCTAGTGAGAAACTTGTGGGTAAATTTTAATTCTGGTATTATATTTGCTGTCACTTGTTACATCATGAAGCTTATTTAAATTGTTTTTATATAATGACCAAATATTGTGCCCTCCGTCTGTGTAACTCTTGGTAACAAGACTTGGTACAACACACACCTTATAATCAATAATGATGGGTATAATAGGAGAGTGTGGGTGTGCTTGAGAGAGCCCGCCCCGTCGACCAGGACAAGCGCTAGCTGCTATCCTGAATGCCTTCCTCCTGCCTTTCCTTACATACAGTTCCTCAACATGGCGTCCGTCTTCATGCGTATCTTCAACCTTATCTCCATGATGCTTCTCATCGGTCACTGGTCAGGGTGTCTGCAGTTCTTGGTGCCCATGCTGCAGGGATTCCCTTCCAACTCCTGGGTGGCGATCAACGAGCTCCAGGTGAGACCATAACACACACATACACACTCACTTTCACACTCTCACACACTCACACTCTCGCATACCTCTACCTACCTGTTCTTACTCTTCACACTATTCTGGTTCACCAGGTGTGTGTATCTCCTCTCGCACGATGATGAATTTTAGTAATGTTTTACTTCTTGCTGATGAAGGTAGACTGGCGATGGAGAATTAATGAAGGAAATTCTTTCCTTCATGGGGTGACTGCTGCCTTGATGCTTCTCAAGAATTCATGACCCAAAGAACTGGAGATAACATCCCTCTCTTTGGTTAAAACTTAGCCAAGTGTTGTTCTCCAGATACTCTGTGTAGCTTGTGACGGGTGTTGTCCTACCCATGATAGTCTGGCACTTGTTTTCAAATAGAATAACACTATGGCATTGAAAATACCTGTGTAATTTATTAATATTGTTCTTGTAGGTCTATGGTTGTTGATACATATTCTAAACTTGGTCAGTAAAAGTTACTGAATCCGACTCAAGGATAGTGGGAATACCAACTACTAGACTCAGAGTGCACAAGATTCTAATTTATGCAAACAATCATCCCAAAAAGTTTTAGAAAAAGTGTAACGTTTAAGAAAGACCAATCCATCGGTCTCCCTACATCCCTTTCCCACGAAAAATTTTCCCGTCTTTCCTACCTCCTTTTCTTCCTCGAGGACCAGCCCTCTAGGGCCAACCCTCCTTCTGGGACCAACTCTCCCACTAGGGCCAACCCTCCCACTAGGGCCAACTCTCCTTCTGGGACCAACCCTCCCACTAGGGCCAACCCTCCCACTAGGGCCAACCCTCCCACTAGGGCCAACCCTCCCACTAGGGCCAACCCTCCCACAAGGACCAACCCTCCCACTAGGACCAACCCTCCCACTAGGACCAACCCTCCCACTAGGGCCAACCCTCCCACTAGGG